AGGGGGAACATAATGACAAAGGGGGTGGGTATACAGTGCGTCATCTGAAACACAAAAACATTCACATCAGTCTACATACTTTAGAAGAAAGTCCCTCAGTCAGTCAGACAGAAGACAGAAGCGGTACTGGAAGAGGCTTTTTTTTGCTTACCAGTGTTATAATCAGAAGAAATGGATCTATCAACCACAAGGTATGTAGGCTATGTATTATTCATAATAAAGCTTAACCATAATGCTGAGTTTAGTTAAGTAAGATATTTAAACAGACAAATCTATAATCACATCACTGTGGTTTCACAGTGTCTGGAGCAATGATTTGCTTTAATACAAAAGAGCAATGAAATAACATTTTCTGTGGTTTTCCTTTTCATACATTCATAAAATTATGAAGCCCAGTTGGAGGGAAAGGAGTCCGTCTTATCTCATGTAACTTAATAATATTGTCTCTGTTTAACAAAGGCGTAATTACTCTTGGTTAAGAGAAAAACAAATCAAATAAAAAGAAGATTGTTCTGTTTATTATTTGATTAAGAAGAAGAGAATGTCTCTTTAAAGAAAGGCCTTCAAGGCCTGGTCAAAGACAGTTTTGCACATTTATTTCACTCGAGGTGACCACTACATGAGCAACATTAAACAAACATGAAATAACCTTGGGCCACAGGCTAGTGATGCCACTTTACAGCAAGAAGGTCACAGGTCTGCCCCCCAGCTTAGGAACTTTCTGGACAGAGTTTACATAGTCTCTTCATGCAGATGTGAGTTTTCTGCACTTCTGGTTTCCCACAAATCAGAAACATGCTAGCTTAATTGGTAACTCTAAATTATTCTTAATCCTAAAACAGGCATGAGTGGAAAATAGGTTGCAAAAATAATTGTCTGTTATCATTCATCTCTTCAGGCCTTAAGAAAAAAATTTCMACTTTCAAAATATTTAATTTTTCAATATTTCAGATTGTATTATTTGTAACTCTCAGGATATGTTGCTCTATTAGAGTACAAAAAAGAGCCCAAATGATAAACATTAATATAAAATTTAATGGAGATAAAAATTTAAAAAATAAGTAGGTCCTCTGGATGGGTTCTTCTTTAGTGAAATGTTTCGTCTCTCCTCCAAGAGACTTCTTCAGTCTGATGAGTTTCAGGTGAACTCAGCCTTATAAGC